CATTATTTCTTTCAAACACTCACAAAACCTTTCTTTTATAGACTTCTAATTCTGTTGAAAATACACTGGACTACCTGTATAAATAAAAACAGAGCTCTGTGGATCATGCATATCTGAAATAAAACAGTAAATGTTCGAGAAACTCAGAAGGCCTTGAAACATCTTTGTAGAGAGGAAGTTAACATTTCTCATCCTATATGACTAATCATTAATCGTACGACGCTCTGGCTTCAGTGCCAAATCAGAGATGAGGATTACCAGAGCGAGGACATCACCTTCTGCTCCCCCCCAAAGCCTGTCCATCAACAAAACCATCTACAGCATGGCAATTACGATCACAACTTTCTTGTAGTGTGGAGACCAGAACTGCAAATATGGCTCTAGCTGCGGCCTAACTAACTTTATACCCAGCTCCATCATGAGCCTGTTGTTCTTTTATTCAGTGCCTTGAAGAGTAAAGACAAGCTCTTAAATTGTCTTCATAATCATCTTATCTCCTGTCCAGTTGCCTTCAAGGATCTATGGACTTGCACACTAAGATCCCTCTGTTCCTTTGTACTTTCTAGGATCCTACCAATGTATTTTATGTTCGGTTGGAACAGAAGTTCAGTGAAATGTTGTCACCTGCCCGGAGAGCCTGGGATGCACCTGTTCCCTCAGGCTTCTTGACAGTGAACCCATGGGAAGTGACTAGCCAGGATGGAGGTCCCCCGGCAGTGCACTCAGATCTTGTGCAGACCAGCTGGGGCAGTATATTCGTTGACATCTTTAACCTCTCCTTGTTGTAATCTGAAGTCCCTGCCTGCTTCAAGAAGACCACCGTCGTCCCGGTAGGAAAGAAAACACATGCTACGTGACTCAATGACATCTGCCTGGTGGCTCAGACATCCATAACTATGAAATGCTTCAAGAGGCTAGTCGTGGGTCATATCAGCTCAAGCTACCCAGCCTGCTTTGATCCCTTGCAATTTACCTGCTGGTGCAATAGATCCGTGGCAGACACAATCTCCCTAGCCCTACACCGATCCCTGGTCCATCAGGATATTAAGGATACCTATGTCAGGCTTCTACTTATTGACTACTGCTCTGTCTTCAACACTATAATTCCAACAAAACTAATTTCCAAACTCAGCGATCCAGGTCTCTGCTCTTCCCCCACAACTGGATCCCCAACTTCCTGACCCGCAGACTGCAATTAGTGAGGGTAGGCAACAGCACCTCATCTATGACAATCCTCAACACAGGCATCCCACAAGGTTGCATACTCAAACCCTCACTGTACTCCCTGTACGCTCATGAACGTGTGGCCAAACTTTGTCCGAACTCCACCTACAAGTTCGCTGACGACATCACAAGACAGAATACTGGAAAGAAACGTGCTTGGTTTAAAGACAACAGCCTCTCCCTCAATGTCAGCAAAACTAAGGAGCTGATCATCGGCTTCCTGAAGCAAGGAGGAGGGCACCTCCTATCTACATCAATGGAACTGAGGTGGAGATGATCGAGAACGTCAAATTCCTAGGAGTGAGGATTTGTAACAATCTGTCCTGGACCACCCATGTTGATGCTAATGTCAAGAAGGCACAACAATACCTCTTCTTCCGTAGGAGGCTAAGGAAATTTGGCATGTCCATAAAAACTCCACCAACTTCTATAGATGAGCCATAGAAAGCATTCTATTCTTTTTATTTGTTTATTCATTAACAGGATGAGGATGTCACTGGCTAGGCAGCATTTATTGCCCATCCTAATTGCCCAGGGGCAGCTCAGAGTCAACCACATTGTTTTGGGTCTGGAGTCACATGTATGTAAGTCACAGGTAAGGATGACAGTTTCCTTCGCTAAGGACATTAGTGAACCAGGTGGGTTTTTTTTAACAACAATCGACAATGGATTCATGGTCATTATTAGATTCTCTAAGGTTTTGGAGTAGATTTGTAGCTCGAGTTGTGGGTGTTGAGGTTGGTTGGCCCGCCGAGCTGGTTTCTTCTTCACAGACGTTTCGTTACCATCCTGGGTAACATCCTCAGTGCAGCCTCCGATGAAGCGTCGGTGTGTTTTCCCGCCTGGTTTTTAAACTCTGACGTCTGTTGAGATGGATTTCCTCACTTCCGGTTTTCCTTCGTAGTGGAATGTATATGGGGTCGAGTTCAATATGTTTATTTATAGCATGCTTCGTGAAGTGCCAGTCTTCTAGGAATTCTTGTGCCTGTCTCTGCCTAGCTTATCCCAGGGTTTTGGTGTTGTCCCAGTCGAAATGGTGGTTCTCCTTGTCCATGTGGATTCTCAAGTGAATTCAAATTCCACCATCTGCTATGGCAGGATTTGAACCCAGGTCCCCAGAATGTTATCCACAACTCTGGATTGACAGTCCAACGACAATGCTACTAGGCCTTTGCCTCCCTGTGTGCATTGCATCTTAGTATGCCAACTGCTCTGCCCAGGGCTGTAAGAAACTACAGAGTGTTGTGAATACAACCCTGTGCATCACGCAAGCCAACCTTACATCCATTGACTCCATCTACATTTCTCACTGTCTCCTAAAGGCAGCCAAAATCATCAAAGAACCCTCTTACCCAGTTATAATCTCTTCCAATCTCTTCCATCAGGCAGAAGATACAAAAGCTTAAACATACGTACTAACACTTTCAAGAACAGCTTCTTCCCTGCTGTTATTAGACTTCTGAACAGACCTCTCAAATTTCAAATCGATTGTTGATCTTGCTTTTTACACACTGTCTTTGGAGCCATAACTTTTTATTCCTTGCTCTTTTCTAACACCCTAAAATCTAACATGGTATGATAAGACCATAAGACTATAAGACATTCAATCATGGCTGATAAGTTCCTCAACCCCATTCTCCCGCTTTCTCCCCATAACCCTTGATCCCCTTGATAATCAAGAACCTATCTATCTAAGTCTTAAATGTACTCAATGACCTGGCCTCCATAGCCTTCATAGATTCCCCACTCTCTGGCTGAATAAGTTCCTCCTTATCTCCATTCTAAAAGGTCTTCTCTTTACTCTAAGGCTGTGCCCTCGGGTCCTAGTCTCTCCTACCAATGGAAGCATCTTCCCAACATCCACTCTGTCCAGGCCATTCAGTATTTTGTAAGTTTCAATTAGATCCCCCCTCATCCTTCTAAACTCCAATGAGTATAGTCCCAGAGTCCTCAAACGTTCCTCATATGTTAAGCTTCTGATGCCTAGGACCATTCTCGTGAACCTCCTCTGAACCCACTTCAGGGCCAGTACATCCTTCCTGAGATATGGGGCCCAAAACTGCACAAAATACTCCAAATGTGGCCTGACCAGGGCCTTATAAAGACTCAGCAGTATATCCCTGCTGTTATATTCAAGTCTTCTCAAAATAAATGCCACCATTGCATTTGCCTTCCTGACTACTGACTCAACCTGCAAGTTTACATTGAGAGAATCCTGGAAGAGAACTCCCAAGTCTCTTTGCACTTCAGACTTCTGAATTTTCTCCCCATTTAAAAAATAGTCCATGCTTTTGTTCTTCTTACCAAAGTGCATGACCTCACACTTTCCCATGTTGTACTCCATCTGCCACATTTTTGCCCACTCTCCTAACCTGTCCAAATCCTTCTGCAGCCTCCCCACCTCTTCAATGCTACCTGTCCCCCCACCTATCTTTGTATCATGTGTAAACTTAGCCAGAATGCCCTCAGTTCCTTCATCTAGATCATTAATGTATAAAGTGAAAAGTTGTGATCCCAACACTGACCCTTGTGGAACACCACTTGTCACCGGCTGCCCATCCTGAGAAAGACCCTTTTATCCCCACTCTCTGCTTTCTGTCAGACTGCCAATCTTCTATCCATGCTAGCACCTTGCCTCTAACACCATGAGCCCTTACCTTACTCATGATCTGTCTGTGTTCCACGCAAAACAAAACTTTTCACAAAACTTGGTACATGTGACAATAATAAAATCAAATCAAATAATTCAACGTGTACTCGATTGCCTCCTCCTCCTAAAATGCATCACCTCACATTTTAAAGATTAAAGTCAATTTGTCAGTGTTCAACCCATCAATATTGTCCTGTATTTGAAGGCTTTCCTCTTCACTGCGTTTCTCCTCACATAATTTTAGTGTCATCTGCGAAGA